TCTTTCCTCCTCTCCTACAGGTGGCCCTGGAGTGTCTATACCTCCGGGAGAAGAGGATCGGGATTGATTTGGTCCATGACAACGTGGAGAAAAACCTCATCCAGGTGAGGCATCTCCTGGGTCTACCCAGCCCACCAGGGAGAAGGGAGGGCCAGCTGGTCAGAGAGGTTTCTGAACTGCTTATTGGGAGGAGAAGCCACACACTTGTCACTCCAAGGGAAGTTAGGGCTCAGAAAGCATGGGGGCCTTGGTTGTAGTTTAGGAATCAGGATAACCAAAATCATTTGACCTCCCTGTTCTTTTCATTTCCAAAACAGACTTAACCATAGTAACACCAAGAATAATAATAAAAGCTGGTGTTTATTGAGCACCTACCATATGCCATATACTTTAGCACTTCATATGCATGATTAATTTAATGATGAAATAGCCTTTAAGTGAGCACTTGGCACACAGCTGGTGTGTAAGCTTCTTTTAGCCTGAAAGTGTATGAAAAGAAAAGAAAGTATGGCATGGAATCTGAAGCCTCCACAATTGACCTTTAGCTGTTTGACCCTGGGATCATGTGGCAGGAACCCCACCTAACGTTTCATCTTGTGGGGTTGAGGGTAGCAGTGAGAGGCGAGGGGTGAGGGCTCTGACTGGGGAGACAGGACTGTGAGTTTCTAAAGGGCACCCCTTCTTTCTGACATTTTTCATTTCAGGAAGTAGATTTGCTAAAATGTTGCCAAGAACGGATGAGAAAATTAGCTCAAAGAATTGATATCCAGATGCGGTAAGGGCTCTTTTATCTCCCCTCTCCTTGGGGTTTGCGTCTGGACTCCCAAGTTTCTGTGGGCAAGCCAGATGAGCCCGTTTGTCTCTGCATGGCTCTTTCGCTCAGAGATGTTTTGGTAAATGTTTTACAAACAGCCCTTCAGGAACAAAATAAAGTCTTGATTTGTAGGATCTGCCAATTTCTCTGGTGTAAATGCTACCACAGTGGCCGATTTTGAGTTTAATGAAATAGCATCACTAAGACGTGCACAATCAGCTCTCATGAGCCAGTGCATCACTGGGTACTCTTATTTGTAGCAAGGGCCCTGGTAAAAGGAAACTGACCTCACAAAGTCTCCTCTTGGGCCATGGCCTCTACATGTGATTTCTGAACTTGGCAGAGGGTGGGTGGGGTTAGGCAACAAGGCAAAAAGCTGGGGCATCTCCAGAAGAGAACTGGTGGATGCCTTCAGCCAGGAATCTTCAAAGGAATCAGCTTTCTGTTCTTGGGAGATTACGTAATTGCTATCATGACAAGCCAGGAGGCCCCTCTCATAATTAAAGGGAGCTTTGTGTTTTACAGGGCTTGGGGCCTATAGCTAAGCCATAGGACCCAGCCCCCACCTGGCCCTTATCTGTAACTCTTTAAGGGCACGCTGTTCTGCTGGTTTTCCCTCTTTGCTGACTTTTGACACAGAGACACATAGCAAAGGGCAGGCTGCCAGCCTTGCCAGGCTGTGCTCCCCACTGTGTGACAAATGTGGGTAGCCTGGGTGGGCAGCGAAGAGATCAGACAGCTTCCAAGTCAACTCTGGGAGTTTGGTGTCTGATTTGCCGTGCCCTAGAAATAGCAGTCAGCTCCCCTTGCAGCAGTCCTTTCATTCCCATGAGGGGTTGGAACTGGGTCTCAAGGATAAGAGGGAACCACCAGGAACAAATGGCATCCAGGGAAATGTTTAAAAGCAGAAAGACATTGCAGAAAAATCTTTGCCCTGAAGATCAGAGGTTGTAGTCAGGACCAGATGAGTTGAGGAGACCCAGGGAGACATTGGTGTGAGATGCACAAAGCAGATGCAAACAGCAGGAGTGGAAGCCACAGTGGAAGGGGTGAATCCAGTCACCTGTGTGTCTCTGTCCTGACTTCTCAGAACGGCACCTGCCACCTGGATTACCACTGGTTACCTACTGTTTGTCTGTACATTAATTTGCTAGAAAACAACAACAACAACAACAGAAACCTTAGATATTTATATTTAAACAGGCTAGTTTTAACAACTAGAGAGCTTTAGGCAAGCTGATGTCTTTGACTGATTGCATCTTTCATAAACTTATTTTTTAAATATATTTATTAAATTGACATACAATTTTTAAGATTTATCATGTACAACATGGTGTGTTAAAATACGTATATATTGTGAAATGGTTACATTAATTAACATGTACTTTATTTCGCATTACTTCTCATTTTTCTGTGATGAGAACGCTTAAAAATCTCTCAGTAATTTTCAAGAATACAATACATTGTAATCAACTACAGTCACTGTGTTGTACAATGTAGATTTCTTTTAAAATTTTTTCCATTTATTTACTTCTTTTTCTTTTTTTATTAATTAATTAATTTGCATTCATTCACCAAGCCCCATCGCAGCATATAAAATGTGATTTCTCATCCAGAATATACTGCATAGGGGCTTAATCATACATGTTATTGTCAATAATTTTTCATTTCTAGTTTCACATACACACACACACACACACACACACATATATATGTATATATATATTTTCCCCCTATTTCTCACCCTCTGCCATTTCCCACCCTTCTCCCACACTATCTTAGGTGTCTACAGTTGTTTTCTATTCCTTTTTCCCCCCACATTTTATTGATTCACAAAACTTCTTAAATAATCTAACTACTTTCTATAGCAAATTCAGCTGGTATATACGTATCTGTGAATACATGTCTGACTTTAGGTGTGAAACTCTAATTAGAATGGATATATGATAAGGTAGCACCTAAATGATGCTATATAGCTTACTATGGTCATTAAATAGGTCTTTTAAAATTAATTTTTTAATTTCAAGGAAAGCAGTTTTAGCTTTAATAAATCAAAGAAGTGCTAAGGAACTTTGCTTAAAACTTAAAGCCAGGAAAGAGGTTAGGATTCTGTTCAAATAGTGGGTACATGAACCTACCGGCACCTCAAGACAGGACAGAAAATCCTTAAAACTGGAAAACAAAGCCTAGAGAAAATCAGCAATGTTTTTTAGTCAAAAGTCATAAAATTCTGTTTCACCAGTTTGGTTTCATATACTTAATCTATCTTCTGTTGTGGTTCAATCTTCCCTATTAAATTCTGGATAATATTCAACTCCAGGCTTGTCCCTACGATTAAGTTGGCCATTTTCTTAGTATTTTAACTCTTATTTCTGTGTGTCTGTATTTAATTTTCCTGGTATAGCACTCCCTTGAGAACTTCTTGGAGATCTGGTCTGGTGTTGGTAAATTCTTTAAGGTTTTGTTTATCTGAGAATGTTCTTGTCTTTTCTTCCCATGTGAAGGATAATCTTCCAAGTACAGTATTCTTAGTTAAAATTGCTTTTCCCTTAACAGTTTGAATATATTTTCCCATTCTTTCCTCACTGCTAGACAAAAATCCTTGGTGAAAGGTCCATACTGGCAACCTTCTTTCAGAACCTCTCTCTGTCCAGAGCTCTTCTCTTTCAATAAAACTCTGCTTTACTATATCTTCCTTTGTCTACGCTTCTCATTCTTCTCTAGAAGGAGATCTTCTTGGGCTGATTCTATTTGGGGTCCTTTATATTTCTTGGGACTGGATCTTTGAAGGCCTATTTAGGTTTGGAAAGTCTTCTCCCAGGATCTCATGGAATAGATTATCAGTGCCTTTATGAGTCTCTTCGCCTTCTGGGATACCAATTATCCAGATGTTTGGATGTTTGATGGTATCTAGTATTTCTCATATATTAGTCTCATTTTGGGGGGGGGCAATTTTCTCAGTCTTTGTGGTGGATTTTTCTAGGCCAGTGATTCTGTCTTCTACATCTGAGATTCAATTTTCTGTATGATCTGGTCTGCTTTTAATACTTTCAAGGGAGGTTTTGACTTCCTGTATTATAGCCTTCATCCCTATCAGGTCCATTTGATTATTTTTTATAATATGTATTAGATCTCTTTTAGATCTTGCAAAAATTTCCTCACTTCCTGGAACTCATCAGCTTCTTTCTCCTGCCTCTTCTGCAGTCATTGTCTCTCTTCTTTTCCATCTCTGTTAGCTTTGTCACTATGAATATTCTAAATTCTTTATCTGACATTTCTATGAGTTTCATTGTACTGTCTGAGGGTGAAGAGGAGTTATTCTTTCTCCTTGGAGGAGAGGTATTTTCTTGCTTTACCATTTTTCTTGTGACCCTGTGGTGATTTCTAGTCATCCAACAGGTTGTACGTTTCTTCCTAATTCTTGAAGTTCAATCTGAGCATTCAGAGGCATGCAGGAGGAGGTGATCTGTAATCTCTCTTCCGTTCTGTTGTCACTCTTTGTGCGTAAGATTCAGTGGGAATAGAGGAATATTCTGATCCTAATCATATTCAGATGTTTGGATCCTGTTCACTTGGATCTGTCTAGACACTTAGGGTGAAGAGGCTACTAGAAATGAATCTGGAAGAAGAAGTCTCAGCAGAAAATCTTCATTTTTAGTCAAGGAAAACAGTATTTCACAGCTCAAGTTCAGTATCCACCTCAGGATGGGCCTGGGGTTGTGCCTTTCCCACTAGAAAGGAATCTAGAGGGAGAAGCTTCAGCAGAAAATTTTCATTTTTAGTCAAGGAAAGCAATATTTCACAGCTCAAGTTTGGTATCCATCTCAGGATGGGCCTTGGGTTGTTCCTTTCCTAAATGGAATCACAATGTAGATTTCTTGAACTTATTCATTCTAACTGGGATTTTATAGCCTATAACCAACATCTCCCCAGTTCCAAACCCTTAGGCCCAGGCAAGCACCATTCTACTCTCTGCTTCTATTATTTCAACTTTTTTCAACTTTTTTATATCCTACATGTAAGTGAGATCATGTGCCTGTTTGTGCCTGGATTATTCACTCAACACAATGTCCTCCAGGCTCACACATGTTGTTGCAAATGGATATCCTTCTTTTTAAAGACTGAATAGTATTCTGTTGTGTATATATGTATATCATATTTATTCTCACATCTGTTGATGGACACTGAGGTTGATTCCATATATTAGCTTTTGTGAACAGGGCTGCAGTAAACATGGGAGTGCAAATATTTCCCAATATATAGTACTAATCTCATTTTCAAATAATGGGACTACTAGATCATATGGTAGTTGTATTTTTATTTTTTTTGAGGAACTTCCATACTGTTTTCCATAGTGGTTGTACTAATTTATCTTCCCACCAGTAGTAAACAGGATTTTCCCTTTTCTCCTCATATTCACCAATGTTTGTTATCTTTATCTTTAGTGTTTTTGAAAATAGCAATTCTAACAGGTGTGAGGTAATAGCTCATTGTGGTTTTAATTTGTATTTCCTTGATGATTAGTTATGATGAACGATTTTTAAAATATATCTGTTTGCCATTCATATATATCCTTTTTGATACACATTAATTCAGGTCCTTTGCCCATTTTTAAAATGGGTTATTTGCTTTTCTGTTATTGAGTTTTTTTTACTTCCTTATGTATTTTGACTATTAATCCTTTATTGGATATATGGTTTGCAAATATTTTCTCCCAATCTGTAGGTTGTCTCTTCACTCCATTTATTATTTCTTTTACTATGCAGAAGTTTTTAGTGTGATGTAATTCCATTTGCTTATTTTTGCTTTTGTTGCCTGTACTTTGGGAATCATACTTAAAAAAAAAAAATCATTTCCCAGAGCAATGTCATGAAGCTTTCACTCTATTTTCTTCCAGAAGTTTAACATTTTTACATCTTACATTTAAGCCTTTAATCTATTTTGTGTTGATTTTTGTATATGGTATGAGGTAGGAAACTAATTTTGTCTTCTGCATGTGGATTTCCAATTGCCCAACACTATTTATTGAAGAGGCTATCCTTTTTCTCTCCTGTGTTCCTGGCATGTTTATTGACAATCAATTGGCCATAAGTGCATGGGTTTATTTTTGGGCTCTCTATTCTGTTCTTTCTTGCACTTATTTACATGATATCTGATTTACAGAAAGAGATGGTTGCTGATATAGGGATATGGTAAGACATGGCACTGGGGCGGGGCGGGGGATGGGGTGGAACAAGAGGCCCGAAGTTTGGGAAATGGGACATTGTGAGCTGACAAAGTAAACAAAAGCCCAGGCTTGAAATTGGAGAGCTGGACCTCAGAAGACAAATCCTGAGACAGGGGTAGGGAGGTTGCTGTGTGATCCCAGACCATGAAATAGAGGCAGGGGAGCTGAGAGAACTAGGGAGACTTGAGGTCAATGGAGACAGTCCTGAGACTGAGAGACATGGACACAGAATAAACACTGACATCAAGAGAGGCACAGAGACAGAGACAAAAAAAGAAAGACATGGAGATATCAATAGAGACATAGTTATGCAGGGCAGGGCAACAGGGGCAAAGTCACACATAGAGAAGTATGTCAGATAGTGAGAGAAATTGAGAGGTGAGACAGAGACAAGGAAAACCAAGGAGATGCAGAGGGACAGACATGGAGATAGAGGAAGAGTGAGAGAGATGAAAGGCCCCATGGGAGAGAGAAGCAGAGAGGATGAGAACAGATGGATGGAGACCGTCTGCCATGAGACGATGGCCTGTTTGTCAAAGGATGCCTGCCATTGAGTGGGGGGACAGCTTTTGCTGCTGCAGGGGCCATATTTTCCTAATTAACTAGGAACCACAAGAGCTTCACTAGCCAGGCAGAGCTCCATGTGTCCTTGCTCCCTCGGGGACACTTGGCTGCTGACCCACCCACCCAGGTGGCCTCCATGGCAGTGCTGGGCTGTCTACTCATGACTTCCTGGGAGAGGCCTGAGGCCCACATCAGGACAAGGTGGTGTTGCTGCACCAGGCACCAGCAAAGTGGAAAAGGCTTCCTGAAAGGAAAGGAGCTGAGCCTGGGTTTTTTTCTGGTGGGTGACAGCAAGATGAGCCTTGGCACTGGCTGGGTCCTCAGTATGAGCCAGGTAGGGGGGACAGAGCCAAGCAGCTAGACCAATTGGATTTGGGGCTCCCCCAGCTTCCCCTCAAATGCTCTGACATGTTTGTTTTCCACAGTCTGGACTTTCTTCACATTCCAGTTCATTAGGATGGGGCCTCATTTCTCTAAGGTTCTGCCAACTGGGTAGGCCACAAGGGCCCGAGCACGGTTCCTCCTGCCCTGACATGACCTCCTGCATATCCCGAGGAACCTGCCATCAGGACTTAATTTCCTTACTCCTGGCCTAATTGAACCCCAAGCTAGTACTCATAGCACAGAAGAAAAGTGAGAGAGAGAGACAAGAGGAGAAAAGCCAGGAGGGAGAGTCACACACAGAGACCCTGAGACAGAGACAAACCAAGACAAAGAGTCAGAAAGAGACAAAGATTAGAGAGATGGAGGAGGGACGCAGAAAGGGTAAGGAAAAGAGAGAGAGAATGGAGAAGGGGAGAGAGAAACTAGTGTGGGACGACTCATTAGCTGGGGTCTGGACATACTTTGCTTAGTGGAAATCGTCTTCTGTACTGTCTTACAATTCTCAATGCTTCAAGGCAAAAGTCCTGGCCACTGCTCATGTGTCTTTAACACTGACTGCTCTCCTGTTCGTTCAGTCAACAGGGAAACAGAGAAAGGTTAAGATTTAGTATCTTCTGGCGGTAATAGATGCTATAGTTAGGATCTAGTGTCTATTTAGTGTTTATATCTAAGGTGACCTATTCATGGAGAGGGTTCTTGGTTTTCCTTTAAAGACAGGAGTGTAAAATTTCTGCTTTACTTACAAGTGGTGTTTTAAAAAGAAAAATAAATAAATAATAATACCAGAGTATCAGCAGATGGCATAATGGTTATATTGCTGGACTCCCATGGAGTTGACTACAGTTCGAGTCTCAGACCCGGCAGCTTCAAATTCTTGCTGGGCGAGTGTGCATGTGTGCCCAAAATCCCAAGAGGAGAATGGAGGAGAAGGGATTGCAGCATGGCCATCACCCCTGGGGGGTGATTTCTTACTTTCTGTCTGTCACTCTCTATCTCTCCAATGAGCACATGAACTCTATAGCAAAAATCTCTCTTAAAAAAAAGAAAAAAAAATACTACTGGTACTTTTGTACTTGGCAAGAATCACAAAGATGATTCTTAACTATCTGGAGTTTGATTTCCCTCTCATGCTCTGACATGTTTGCTTTCCACATTCCGAACAGTGTGTATTTTTTAAATTATTTATTAATTTTATTTATTATAATCATTATTTAAAAATTTTTGTTATAGGACACATGTGCTCACCAGAGAGAGAGACAGAGACAGAGCAAGAGAGAGGGAAAGTGAGAAAGCAAGCCACTAGGTCCAGGACTCAAACCTCTGTCGGCCATGTAGGAGTCCAACACCTCAACCATCATACCACCTGCTGGCCTCTGGACAGTGGTTTTTAAGTCGAAGCTTCTCCACAGACCCCAGCACTAGGCTCTAGCCTTGGCTCCACCCCGTTTCCCTCTCCTTTCCTCCACCCAGTCCCTGACTCCATCTGTTCTCTGACCTCACCCAGCCCTTGACCCTACCTAGCTGCTGACTCTGCCCAGTGGCTGACCCCACTGTCTCTCACTCCACTCAGCCAGTCCCAGTCTCCACTTAGTCTCTGACCCCACCCAGTCTTTGACTCCACCCAGTCCTGGCCTCGCCTGCTTTAAAGATCTGCTTACAGTCCCTGAACACATGCTGTTTCTGGCCTCTCTACTTTTTTTTTTTTTTTTTTTTTTTTTTAGAGTTTTTTTTTTTTATAGTACATGTGCTCGCTGGAGAGACAGAGAGAGACAGAGAGAGAGAATGTGAGAAATCACCACCCTCACCCCCCTGGTGGGGGGGATGGCCTCACTACAATCCCTTTTCCTCCATTTTCCTCTTGAGATTTTGGTCAAGCATGCACTCGCGCCCGGCATGAGTTTGAATCTGCTGGGTTTGGGACTCAAACCGTGGTTGACTACCTGGGAGTTCAGCAATGTAACCATTACGCCATCTGCTGGTCCCACTGGTTTCTCTACTTTTGCATGTGAGGTGTCCTCAGCCTGACATTCTCATTCCTCCATACCACTTTGTCCAAAATGTCTATTATTCTTTATGAAAATCCAGCTCAGAACTTCAAGAAGCCCCCCCCAAAAAAAAAAAAGAAGCCTACCCTGACCACCCTGCCTGATTGAATGGTTTCCTGCTGTGTAACTTTGTACCCTTGCACTCTGCTGTTCCCTTTATTTGTACAAGTCTGCGGCTACTTGAAGGCAGTGATTGTGTCTTACTTCTTTCAACTTGCCAAAGGGCACATGAGCTTGCCAGACAGAGTGCGAGAGAGAGCAAGCACTCCCCATGGGGCTTATTCTCACTGTCATCCCTCCCCTGTCTCGGCCCCCTCTCTGGGCTTTGGGAATGCTTGGCTGCCCAGCGTGTTTCTCAAGTGGCTAGGTATAGCACTGGATCCACATGGTCGGCCATGTGGGGTCCAGCTCTCCTAAGCCCTGGGCCCCGAGCTGTCCCCGGATCTCATCCATGTCCCCTGTACTCAGCACAGCACCAGACACAATGATTTTAAGTGATTTGACTTGATACAGTGTGTGTCCAGAGTGTGAATTTGTACGCTTTTTTTTGTTTTTTTAAGGTTTTTGCTATAGGACTTGCGCTCACCAGAGATACAGAGAGAAACAGAGAGAGAGAAAGTGAGAAATCACCCCCAGGGGGGATGGCCAAGTTGCAATCCCTTCTCCTCCAGCTTCCTTTTGGGATTTTTGGGCATGCACATACATGTGCCTGGTGGGAGTTAAAGCCACCAGGTCTGGGGCTTGAACTGCCGTCCACTAAGTGGGAGTCTAGTGATGTAACCATTACGCCATCTGCTGGTCCCTGAATTTGTCCCTTCTAATCAGGTCAGCTAACCACGGCTGGGGGCAAACATCTGGCCCATCGTGTGCTTCTGTAAATTAAACTTTACTGGGGCGAAGTCATGCTCATCCACTTACATGTGACCTGTGGCTGCTTTCAGGCATAGTTGAGTAGTTATAACAGGAACCATTTGACCCACAGAGCCCGAAATCAAAATTCCGTTTTCTGTGGTTTTACTTTCCCCAATCTCAGTTCCTTGTGATCCAAAAACACTACGTGTAAAATTCCAGAAACAAACAATTTGCAACTTTTAAGTTGCCACCGTTCAGTGAAATCTCCTCGGTGGTCTGGGGTGTGCCTGGGGCGTGAATCGCCCCTGTCTCGTGTGTCCATGCTGTATGCCCTACTGCACATTTCCATGCAGCCGGCTTGGTTATCTGATGGAGGAACACAGCACACACAGGGTCGGTGCTGCCCAAGGTTTCAGGCGTCCACCGTGTACCTCAGACTGTATGCATCCTTGTTGGTAGGGGGACCACCAGATTTATCATTTGACCTTTTATGGTAACTTTTCCCATCCCTTCACTTTAGACAATAGATCTGTCTGAATTGCCGGGAGTGGAGGAGGTTCTGGGTGCATGGTGTGGGCATCAGGTGGGAAGAGCGCTGAGAAGCCACCTGGTGCACACAGACACCTTCCTGGGAGGCCAGGCATGTGGCTTGTAGCCTGGCTCGGCACCCAGCTGCTGTTGGCCGTGGGTGGAGATCCTGGGAATGTGCAGTCTGGGGACAGATCCTTCCTCCCTGCAGGGATAACCGAGATGCTCAGCACGCTCTGGAGAGGGACCTTGAGGACAAATGCTCAGCCCAGTTTATTGATGAGAAGTGCTTCAACCTGAGAAACACGTCGGATTGCATCAGCTTCTTCCATGGCGTGGAGAGAGTGGATGGCACGTGAGTATCGGGCTCTCTCTCTGTCCCCTCCTGCCCATGTTTAAGGGAGTGAGGGTTTCTGCTCCTGCCAGAGTGACAAGAGGGCATCTTGTACCAGTCACGTGAGAGGCAGTGTGGTTGAATGGGAAGCTTCTGTTATAAGCAACAGAATCCAAGTCTGGCTAACTTAGACAAAATGGAATTTACTGGAAGGCTGTGGGAGAGTCACACACATGAGGGGATGGCTGGAGGGGACGGTTCTGGCCAGGAAGCAGGAGCCAATCAGCTGTGCTGTCAGAACACCGCCATCTTTCTAGCCTTGCCCCACATTGCTCAAGATCCAAGTTCTAGAAAGAACCTGCCGTCAGTATTGTGAGGGTCACATGGCCTCCACCAAACACTGGAACAGAAAATGGCTATATCTGGAAGGAGGATGCCAGGGCCGCTGCACAGCCACCAGCACTGGTCATGGTTCTGGAGACTGGATTCTGGAGGCTTCCTGGCTTTGAATCCCAGCCTCCAGACACTAGCACTTTGACAAATCACTTCGGCTCTTTGGGCCCCATTTCTGCGTCTGTACCACTGGAAGGAAAACTGTCCCCACCTCCCAGCATTGCTGTGAGTACAGCAAGGTGGGCTTGTGAGGCTGCAAGCGCAGAGCCCAGTGCGGAATAGTAACAGCTAGCGCTCACTGCGTGCTTGCTGCGTGACCTCTGTTTCTAGTCGTGGCTGCTACAGGGACGGTGCTTCTCCGTGTTTGGCACGGTGCGGTGTGCAGGCCAGCAGTACGAAATTCCATGTGAACCAAGACCTACATGCCCAGCCGGCAGTCTGGGATGAGGTGGGCCGGAGAGAGAGATGCTCGGGGTACAGGCAGAGGGTGGTGTCCACCCAGAGAGAAAAAACAAATCTGCAGCTCATGGAGTGTGTGGCCCCCGTAGGTGTGCAGCAGATACCTGTCACGTGAGCAAAGGCGGGGAGGGGGAGAGGACCAAGCACAGGAAAGAGAGCGGGGAGAGAAGGAAGGCATTCCTTGGCAATCTCCTTGGGCTTGCCCCAAGCCCAGGGTCACTTTCTAGATCTCAGCAGAGGGGCCTGCAGGTGGTGTGGTGGTTAAGGTGTTGGACTCGCACAGAGCCAACTGTAGTTTGAGTCCCAGACCTGGTGGCTTGGAAATTATGCCGGGCGTGTGTGTGTGGTCCCAAAGACCCTGGAGGAGGGATCGTGGTGTGACTATCCCTCCAGGGGGTGGTTTCTCACTTCCTGTCACTGTCTTTCTCTCTCTCTATCTGGTGAGTACATGTGCCCATGGCAAAACCTTTTAAAACTTTTTTTTAATTAAAAAAATAGATCTCAGCCGATATTGAGGTGACCCTTTGGGTTTTCTGGCAATGAAAACTCCTGGGAATTCTCCTCCTCTCCCTGACAGGGTGGACTCTCAGGGTACTGGCAAGGTGAGCAGGACTTCGGAGACTCAGTCCCCCTCAGCCACAGCTGCTCAGTTGCACAGGGAGTCCAGAGGGTCCTCTTCCCAGACAGCTTCCTCCCCCAAAGCTGGCAGCCAGACTGGCCAGCAGGTACTGTGGTCCCCATGCCCAGGAGGGGCCAGTATTTACAGTGCCGCATCTAGCGGCTCCAGCTGGGAGTCGTGAGTTACTGTTTGCGGTGACTAAGTGCCGCCCAGTTGTGCTTGCTAGGGCTTTGCATTTGGGGTTTTCTTAAAGCAAGGTCACATCTGAGCAGAGAAACGAGGGTGCCTGGAGACTGAATTGTATCTCTGCACTGTCGTCCTCATGCCATGGTTAACTGCTGGTGAGGATGATGACAGCAGATGCCTTACCTGCTGTTTGCTGCGTGCTCGATGCTCCACGGAGAGTGTTCTGCATGAGGAGTAAACGTTCATCCATGCTTGCTGGGTGTCTGGCCGTGAGAGGGGCTTCACAAGTAGTCACTCAGCAACCCCGAGGAGGTACCACTGTATCTCTACTTGACAGCTAGGGTGCTAAGCCCAGAGAGGTGAAGTGACTGTGTCGGGCTCACACAGCAGGTAGCAGAGCTGCAATCGGAGCACATGCATCTTACCCAGTGCTGCCTTCCTGCCTCCCCAGCAGTCTGCAGTCCCTTTGTCTGTAGAGGACACAGGCTGCAGAGAGCACATCCCCCACTGAGGCACACTGCCTGCTGAGAAGACAGCCTGTCTTTGGTAAATCCCCCCCTGGGAGAGTGTGATTAAGTGGGTTATTTTCTCTGGGGAGCTCAGCTGTCTGCTCCAGAGGAGGGCAAGGGCTTAGAGGTCGCTGTTTGTGACATTGACGGTGTCGGTGTCCCGTAGCAGTAGACACGCTCAGTAAATCTGCAGGCTTCTATCTGCTGTCCTTGGCTCCTCCTCCTCCATCAGTGTCCTGGGAGTGGTGAGTGGTGTGTGACCTTGGACAAGGCCCTTCACCCTTCCAAACCTCAGGTCTTGGTTGATTGACAGCTCTGGACCAGATACAGGGCTCTCTCCTCCCTGCAGAAGCCTGCCACCCTTGGCTACTGCGTGAGTTTAACTCCTGCAAAGGCCAGGCCAAGCAAACACACACAAGTATGTGATTTAAAAATTTCTATTCACTATGCAACCTAAGTGTGTTTTAAAATGTCTGTAAAGAGAGCATTATTTTGGAAATTGAGTTCTGGGCTTTCTACTGACTGAGAATAAAATTTTGCTTTATTTAAGAACTGGAAAAAAATAAAAGTGCTAGAGACTTCCTGGGCTAGAAAGGACCTTGAGACATTATCTAGTCTGGTTTATCCAGCTTTGAAGCTAGCTCAAAGAAGTGCGTGTCCTTCCTCAAAGGCTTCCCGGAGGGGAAAATCGCACATGATCCCTGGGTTGCTTGTGGTAGGGATTTGTATGCTCTGCCAGGAAGAACTTTTGTGTTGTCTAAATAGAGTGAGTCCCATACAGGTCACAACCTCTAAGAAGCCTTCCCTGCCTGCCCTTGCTAGCATTATCATCGGCATTCATACACCCAGATCCATTCTCGAGCTGCCCTGTGATGTGTCCTGCCCTCTACAGGCCACCTCTTCTGGACCCTTTGGTTCCCAGTTGGGCTTAGCCAGAAGGAGCAAAAGATAGAGTGGGAGGAGACAGAGGACGCTGGCCTTTATTCTTCTAGCTTGCTCCCAGGGACTGTGGTCCACCATGGCTCCTCCTCTTCTGGGGCTCTTGTAACACCTACTGCTCCTTGCTTGTGAGGTCACAGTGAGGCAGGAGAAAGCTGACAGATGAAAGCAGGTAAGGGGGCTGGAGCGTCTCCCCAGATGGTTAGATAGAAAAACCAGTCAGGGCAGAAAATTCCCTGCCCAAGGTAATGTAAGCAGATTAGTGGGGATGTCTAGCTGATTAAGCCACACTTGATACAGCCACTGAGATGAATCAGTGGACCCAGCCACATCTGAAATACCCAATGAGAAGTCAATGGGCCCAGCCACATTTGATAAAGCCAATGAGATGAGAACAATCAGTGGGCTGAGCCAATGATCAACCAACATGACCTAAATTAAAAATTATAATTCTTGGGGCTCTCAGGTGGCATGGTGATTAAGGGTGTTGGACTCCCACATGGCTGACCATGGTTGGAGTCTCAGACCTGGCAGCTTGCTATCCCACTTTCCCTCTCTCTCTGTCCCTTTCTGGTCTAATTTAAATAAATAAATAAATGAATTAAATACATAAAGTTCAATAAAATAATTCTTTAAAAAATTTCTAAATCTCACAGAATGTAAATGACAGGGACTTTTGAGTCATTCTTTCTCTGCTCAAGGCCCACTCCTACCTCTCAGGGGTGTACTTTCACTTTTACTTAATAAACTGTTTGTTTCCTTTCACAATGCATGTGTTTAAATCAATTCTTTGTCCAAAACACCAAGAACCTAGATATCATCACAGAAGGCATATCACGACAACAGGTGGGGGTGGGACAGCTTCATGCATGCTCTAGTCCGTGAGCACCCGGATGCCCCTCTGAGTGGTCCCTCTATCCCCTTTCACTACTGACCAATACATAACGCCCCACTCTGTTTATCTCTCTTCATCCTCCTCTTCTAAATTCCTTCATAGCACGTAACACAATGTGTACCTGTCGTCTTCGTTGATCGTCGATCTCCCTCCTCTGGAAGTCAGTCACTGTGAGGACAGGGACGTCACTGTCCTTATTTGTGGCTCTATCCTAATTGCCTGGAACAATGCTTGGCATGTGGTAGGCGTTCAAAGAGCATTCACTGAATGAATGAGACAGTGAAAGTGCCATGGCTATATGTGCATCCCCAAGTTAGAGGAACCTGGGCCACACTGTCCCCAGTGCCCACTTGTTAACCTTTCTGTGTTTTGAGTAGTGGGAGAGGGGATTGGGGAAGAGCCTTTGAGGGTACTTGCCTCTTCTCCCAACCCACTGAGTGCCCTTTGGGAAATCTGCTACTCCCTCTAGGCCGTAGTTTCCTCCCCTGTGAAATGAAGGGTCAGACCAGGACAGTGGTTTTCAGTAGGGGTGATCGTGTTCCCCAGCCCCCAGGAAACATTCAGCAGTGTCTAGAGACATTTTTGATTGTTCACAACTGGGTGGGGGAAGATACTGACATCTGGTGGGTAGAGGCAGGGCTGCCGCTCCCTATCCCGTAATGCACAGAATGGCCCCACGACAAAGAATGATCCCGACCCAAATGCCCAGGCTGCCAAGGCTGAGAAACCCTGGACACAGAGGTCGCCAAGGCTCGCCGCAAGCCCCAGCTCCTCGCCGGCATTACATTTGCCCTTGTGCTTTTGCAGGGTGTCGGTACCCGAGACCTGGGCCAAGTTCAGCAACGACAACATCAGGCACTCTCAGAGCATGCGGGCCAACTCCATCCGGCTGCGCGAGGAGGCGGAGCACCTGATGGAGACCCTGTCGGATCAGATGTGGCGGCAGTTTACAGACACCAACCTGGCCTTCAACGCTCGCATCTCTGAGGTGACGGACGTGAAGAATAAGCTGCAGACGCAGTTGGCAAAGGTGAGCAGATGCGACTGGGGACCTTCGTCTCCTCTGTTGATCTTCCTTTGGGTCTAAGGAGCCCCCACCCACCTCTGGTACCCCAACAGTCCCTTCCACCCCGAGGTCTACGACCTTGTCCATCCCACAGGGGATAGTGTTCAAGCATCGAGAACCCTCCCTTGCTTGCTGGGAGCATGGCCTGGTGGTCTCCATGGCCCCCAGTGCACTCCAGTCTCCACCTGAGGTCCACTCGGCTGAGTATGAGGAGGGCGGAGATCATGGAGCCCCAGAAGGTAGTCCCCACGGTCTGAGCAGATCTCCACCCACTTCAGTCACCCACTTCGGTGTCTTTGGAAATGTAACCTTTGGACTTTGGACATCTTTGCCAACATGAGGCTCTCTTGTTGAGAGCTGGGGTGTTTTTTGAGTCTGAGGAGTCTTTCTGTCATAGATCTACTGCCTCACACCAGCATGCCCTTTATGATAATCTGCTGCTCGAGCATGCCATGCTGTCATGGCCTCTGGGATGGCTCATGGGGGTCCTCTCTGTGAATTTACCCCCCTACTCTGCGTTCCGTAGAGGACACTGAGTGCCAGAGCTATGTGAGCACCAGGCATAGAGAGAAGCCACGCAGTGGTGTGTGTTGCTAAAACTCCGCTCTGCAGGCTGGGCCTGCGTGGGAGGCCTGGGCTCCTTTCCCAGGTCCACCTCAGCCTAGCAGCCAGGTGCAATGGCACATACCTGTAATCTCAGTGCCTTGGGAGGCCAAGGGAGGTGGAGGCTGGCTGGCTAATATAGAGAAATTCTGTCCCAAAAAGGGCTGGGCCTGGTGGTGCATACCTGTAGTCCCAGCTGGGAGGCTGAGGTCAGATCATGACCGTGTGATCCGTCTAAAAGAAATAAAAAGAGGAGTCACACAAACATGGACCCCGGGTGAAGGGACTTACATTTTGGTTGAGGAGCAGCAGTGGTTACAAAACTTACAGGAAGGACTTAGGGATAGCAATCTGGTTTGAGGGGCTGGGAGGCAGGGGACTAGCCTCAAGTCAGTCTTTGCAAAACATCAGCCTTTTCATTGTGTTTAGATCTTTGGGAGGGTTCCTGAGCTGCAAAGAGGGTTTGAAAGAAACTACAGGGGCAGCTTAAGCCCACCCACACCTGCCACTTTTTGGCCTGGGTCACAGAGGAGGCAGACAGAGCAAGGTGTTCTGGGTGCTATGAGGGAGAAGCAGGGGAGGGGTCAGAGACCCTTCTGGGAGCCCTACAGGGGGTGAGGCACACAGGAAGGTGACACTTACATGGAGCAGATCGACAGGATGTGAGGCAAGCAGTGATGGCGGGGAGAGAGTGGCAGTGCAAAGGACGCCTGGGATGAAGGTGGAGGAGGGCGGAGGCTCAGATAGCGGCTTCCAGTAGGCTGTGAAGGGTTTGACCTTGGAGAGCAGTGGAGAGCCTTCAAAGTGGGGAGGATCCAACATCATCCTTAGATTAATCTCTTCTCTTGGGTGGAGCAATGGCTGCAAGAGTTGAGAGTGGCCGCCCCGGGAGAGTGGTCACCGAGAGAGTGATTAGGGGCTCCAGATGACAGCAGGTGAAGGGCTGCTGCCACTGCAGGCGAACTATCACACGGAGGTGGACAGGTCTGAGAAGGCAAAGTTGGCTGCACCCCTACCCTCCATCTTTCACGGAATGTTTTCCTGTTAGTCCCCTAAAAAAGAAGATTTGCAAGCCTTCTGTAAAGGGCCAGGTAACACTCATTGTCAGCTTCGCAGGCCTTGTGGTTTCCCTTGCAGCTCTTCGATTCTGCTCAGTATGGCAAAAATAGCCACAGGCAGTATGCACCCAAATGAGCTGGCAGTGTCCCAGTAAAACTTTATTTACAAAACGAGGCATAGCCCACAAGTTGTGGCTATCTCACCCCCTACTCTGGAACTCAGTTCAGAAGTCACTTCCTCCAGGAGTTCTTCCTGACCCCCACAACTTACGTGCACATAGCACGTCTGGGTGGCCACTGAGTTCTGGGACTGTTTGTCATCGCTCCTCCTGCCCATTCTGGATGGATAAAAACACAGTCTCTGAGCCCGACTGCTTGAGCGCGAATCTTCCATAACTTTGGACAACATTCGTAACCTCTCTGTGCCGTGGTTTCCTTATTTGTAGAAAGAGGATTAGAGCGGGCCTGACCTCAGGGTGCTGTGAGGACTGGCGAGTTGACACAGGGAACCTTCCTGAGTGAGTGCCCGGAGCACAGCAAACACTGGGCCTGGGCTGGCAGCTGTGGCCTCACTGAGTTCGCTGGTTCACTCACCTGCATCTCTTCAGAGCGTACTCCCACTCCAGCCTCACACCGCCCCTGCATAGAATATGGCCTGGTGCGCCTTGATTCTCTGTGCAATAAGACAGGAATCTGTATGGTGAGTTTCGCCCTGGTGTTTTAAAAAAGAAATGAAATGGGGCCAGTGGATGGCATAGTGGTTATATCTGTGGACTCCCACATAGTCGACCACAGTTCGAGGCCTGGACTCAGTGGCTTCAAAATCACAACAGGTGTGTGTGTGTGTGCGCCCAAGATCCCAGGAGGAAAATGGAGGAGTAGGGATTGCGGCGTGGCCATCCCCCTAAGGGGGTGATTTCTTGCTTTCCCTCTCACTGTCTCTGTGTCTCTCTCTTTCTCTGGCAAGCATATGTATCCTAAGGCAAAAGCCTCTTGAAAGAAAGAAAGAAAGAAAGAAGGAAAGAAAGAAAGAAAAGAGAGAGAGAAAGAAAGAAAGAGAGAAAGAAAGGAGAAAGAAAGGATGCATAAACGAGTGAATGTTTTTTCCCTCGCCCCATTCCTTCCTTATTTGTCCTCTTTGTATGAAAAACCACTTTGTATTGTGATGAAATATACACAACATACACTTCGACCGGTGGATCATTCGGTGGTATTAAGTAGTCACCTTGCTGTGAGGCTGTCACCACCATCCATCTCCGGAACTTTCTCATCGTGCTGAACTGGCCCTTGGGGGCTGTAGCACAAAGCTCTGTGAGGCTGACTCACATGGGAAGGTTCAGGGTTCATGTAAGGAGACCTTCCTGAGTATGCCAGACCTGCACATGCCCATGACTTGGGGCCGGCTGAAGCTGGGGTGGATCGTGGCGTGAAGACCCTACTGGGGTGCTGCCTCTTCGTCTCTGTCTTTCTCTCTTGCTCTTGGAGGGAAAACATTTAAAAACAAACTATAGCCATTTAACCATAAATGCTTCCCCCCCTCCTCCTACCATTGTCTCTAGGTACCCCCTTCCATCCTGTGTCTTGCCTCACCCCATCTCTGGGTGCTAGGATGCCCTGCTCAGTTCTTCAGTGCCTGCCGTCTCCCTTTTAAACAGAGAGCTTGGCCTCAGGCTGAGGACTTTGGACAGGCAACAGCGTCCAGCTAGAGTTTAAAGAATGCGGTTTATACTTTTGCCTCGTTTCATGCATTTCTTTATTACTTTTTTCATTTATGGCCAATGATGCTGGTTTTCCATGGTTAACAGGGATATAAAGTTTCATTTTTAAATTAATACATTTATTTTTTTAAATAAATGGATGTAAAGAGCAGACTAAGTTAATCATATTGAGACTGTGTGGGAATATGGAAGAAGCAAGGATGGGAGGTGGAAGCTGGGCTTTTGGAAGGCAGCAGGGAGACCCGCGTGTCCCACTCGTTGCTGTGTGTGCGGTCGCCAAACACCTGGCACTTGGTTCGATGCGGATTCTGACTGGTCACAATGCTCTGTGATGCAGAAACCACATGGGGGGTTCCTGGGTTCGCATCCCAAGGCCTCCCTGTAGGTGCCGAGTGTGCATGCCCGAGCAGTGATCAAGGCTGACTGAGGCTGGGAGTGGATTAAGGCATGAAGACTACCTTGGAGGTCATTTCTCTCCCTTTCTGTCTCTCTTTCTCATGAAAGAAATAAATAAGTAAAACTTTAAAAATGCAGATTCTGACTGAGCTGGTCTGATATGGGCCTGAGAACCCGCATTTTGAACACGCTCCCTGTGGCTGCTGCTGGCAGGGGCAACAGGAGTGGAGACTGTAGAATGTGTTAGCTTTGACACACGTCTGGGTAAGCAATTGTCTCTGTCCCTCTCTCCCTCCCCCCTGCCCCCTCTGCACATTCCTTCCTCTTTCTTCCTCTCTTCCAGACTCAGAATATTGGGGGAACCAAATCCTTCCAAAAGGCAGGCTTCTGTCATTTTAATTCCAATCTCATTTTCTATAATTGCGTTTGCTCCAACTTCACAGTCCAAGCAGCGTCATTTTCGCCTTGAGGGATCAGACCAGGTCATCCTGTTGCATAAATCGTGCCCAGTTTGTGCGGATGCAAGACCACTCTCTCTGCACTGCTGCTACCCCCTGGGCAGGCAGCACATGCTCTTAAGTCACAGCCTCATGCCCATCGTGGTTACTGACAGGTCAGGGCCGCGGTCAGGATTACTAGAAGCAGCCTTGCTCAGGGTGTCAGTGCTCCCGATGGCTGTGCTTCCTCCTAACAGCTGCCACCCCGCCTGCTGAAAGGGTCCCATAGTGGGAGGCAGCAGACGGGAGGCAGGAGACAGTGGTGGCTGCTGAGCGGAGCAGCAGGGCGGCCAGGGAAGGGCCTGGACAGTTAGGCTTGGATGTTGTTCTCTATGCTGGAGTCTCCAGAGCCACGGTTGATCCCAGCAGTGGCCTCCTAACCAGTAATGAGACCTCGCTCCAGAACCTTCTTCCCATCTCCACCTGCATCCTCAACATCTGTGCTTGGGTTTCTAAGGATGCCTTGAATGTGACAGGCTCAAAGCCAACTGCAGGACTTCTCCTGTCCCGCCTTTTTTGCCCAGAGCTCCCCCTCCTGTCAGTGACTCTGATGTCCAGACACTTCCAGATGCTTCCAGGGCCTCAGTCTCACACCTTGGAGCTTGCCGGTGCCATCAGCAAATCCGGCTAGTTCTCCCTTCTGAATCCCATTCCTACTCAGCTTCCCCTCTGCTCCACGTGGACCGAGCCTC